TCCACCACTGCTGGACAGCAAATGTCAGCAGCCAGACGGCACGTGCACAGAGCGGCGGGGGGGGGCGAGGAGGCGGGGCCTTCCTGGTCATGTGTCCGTCATCTTTTCCCCGGGCTTTTTAATTCAGGTGTAGGAGATTAAAGGGGTTTCCGGGCACCGAGCGCTTGGAGGCCCCCCCCCCCCCCCTCCTGAGGGTGTCCGTCGGGGGGTGAGTGCTGCAGACCCCTGGTGGTCCGGAGCCCACGCGGAGGCCGCTGGGGGGGGCACGAACAAAGAGAAGCAGATCCACTTTGCATTCGGGCATGAAACGCTTTCCGTGGACTGAGATACGGAGCGAGAGGGGAGGGGGGGGGGGGGGGCAGATAGACAGCGAACAGCGACAGAAAGAAGACAAGTTCAGTGAGTCACTAAAACGTGAAACACTGTCTGTCTGTTCTCGTGGAGATGAGTCACGGTGGATTAATGTCTTATTTTGAAAACGTTTTCCCATCGTCATGTCGTTGCAGCATGAATGGCATGGTACACTTTGGAGATATGTTAATTCATTTGTGAATATTGGTCCAGACTTAGAGGGTATCTCAGTAAAATGTCCACCCGGAAGGTTGAGAGCAGCAAGCTTGAGCCCACAGTGAGAAGCCTCCTCCTCCTCTTCCTCCTCCTCAATAAATCATTTCCTTTTTCACAAAACAATAATGACAACAACGGCACGATGCCTCTGTGCCTCGTATCCTTTTGCCCCCGTTCGCTCGGCGGCTCTGTGCCGCGAGGAGCGGCTGCTCGTCAGCGTCCGAGTGACTCATTTAGTTAGTTTTTATTTGAGTGTCGTTTGTTTGCAGACTCGAATGAAGAAAAAGAGCAAACGAGAGCCAGCAGCAGCTTTTCTCCCTTATTGCTTGTCTTTGGATCTGGCACAATGAAATGGATTTTTTTTTTAAAAGGACATTCATCTACAATGACCCATGTGCTGCATTTTGCAGCGAAACTGTTCCTGAATACTGTAACGCCAATAAAGAGCTGAGCTGACCCACTGGTCTCATGTATAACGGACCCACTGGTGGAATCGATTGCCTCATCTGGCTCGAGTTACCAACCGTACGTGTACCCAAATTATTCCTACTGAACAATCAGGTAATGTTCCTCGTTTGATGAATACTAGATTTAGTGAACTACCTTCAGGCAAGTTAAAGAAACATTTAGTAAATAATTGTTTAGAATGTGATCGTACTGTGGTTATCGCCATCTTACCTGCATTTTCTGTTTTAACTTTTTCCGTTAAGCCAAATTATCCGGCTTCCTATCGGACGAACACGACACCAGATCACACAAAGCGACTAGTGAGGCGTCGTGGAGTCTTCTCAAATAGGCCTGTGGGTCAGCCGGCGTTCTCACTGTTGGGAGGAAGAAAACTCTAAAGTGGGTCGTGCTGTTTTCGGTCGCAGTATCGACAGTAATGGTGTCATCCGAGCCGCGTGTGGGAATGGATGTTCAAATTAAAAAGTCGTATCTGTGTGAAAGCCGCCCGTTCTGAGGGAAAAGTTATTTTCCTTTGATTAAGTAACAAGTCGCAAACGTCGCAGCGCTTTGAGGTGACGTTTCCTCTCAGAGCTGGAATGAGTTCTGTCTTTTGGAGAAATCATTTGTGTAATTGCAAACAAAAGCTGGACCACTTGTGTTTGCGTGGCCGGTGGTTCAGGAGGACGGAATTTAATCAGAGAGGCTCATTTCTTCCGAACAATTAAAGACGATATTCTGTTGATGCAATTTTGAGCAGAATGAGAAGTTAGTGAGCTCGAGTGTGAAATTGAGAGTTGGCTCAAACTTGATGGGACAATAAAAGGCTTTGTTAATTAAGGCAAATTGTGGTGTTGCAGCGGCCGAGTCACATGACTCGCGTAACAATGCCTCAATATGTGTAGAAAACAACAACAACATTAAACAGTATCCTCTTTCGGCTGAATGCCGTCACCATAATCAACCAAACCACGACACAATTGCAAAGCTTCCGCTCGCGGAGACGCGATGCAGCCTGAGCAGAAACTGTGGCTGGCGGCTTATAGATTTTTCCACTTTGAGAAATCGTGGATTCACCGGAAACATGCTGCACCTCAGGATACCGCGTGAGAGACGGGCCCCTCCTACGAGGACACGGTCTGCGGATGAAGCAGATTAGAACAATGTCCCGGGGATGGACAAAGGAAGTCCTCTCACCGGGGCAGCAGAGGGAACAAGCCGAGCCACTGGGACGAACTGTGGGTATGAATTAGTCAACAGGGTCCTGTTTTATACGTGTAAGTGAAGGCTTCTTGTCGCTGCGACGTGAAGGATCTGGTTCACTGAAGGTCGGATGTGGCGCCTTCTCTCTCTGTAGGAGTTTTACGTCTGAGGAAGCGGCAGATGGAGGCATTCAACAGGTGGTCCCGAATTACAGTGATTAAAAAAGACACTGACAGTCGTGCAAAGGAAGAACAACGTGGGAGCGCGGCTGAGAGAGGGAGGGATCGGACACTCATTCATTATTTCCACTGTCTCTTTCTCTGTTGCTTTCTTCTCTGGCTGCATGGGGCAAGCTTTCTTCCAAAGGTGTTTCATTTTCCTTTCTTCTCCTTTCAGACGGTGGAAAATTTGGCTCCCGCTCACAAGATTCTCTGCCACGTTGGCCGAGCTCATTTGAAGCCTCGGCACTTTTTTTTTTTTTTTTTTTGGTGGCCGACAGATAATAAAGACAGATGGTGACTGGACGACCTGATAGGGACTGGAGGGTGTCTGGACATGTTGTACGCAGTGTCCAGAAGGGGATTTGTGTCGACACGACCACGTATGAGTATCACACATCTGCAAAGACGATGCCGCCAAATGGGAAGTAAACTCTGAGCTGAGCTTACTTGTTTTTCTGCAAACATGCAAGCGTGCGTGTGTTCCCCTAAAGCACGTGCTTTCCCTCTTTTCTTTTTATTCATCCCACCAAATGATACATCAGAGAAATGCATATTAATATTTACTGCATAAATGATGACGATCAGACTAAATAACACTTTAGTGACCTGAAGCTTTACCACAATGGCAGACAGAGACAAAGCTTATGTCTTAGTCTTGTTTTTTTTTGTCCGTTTCCACCCTTATTTTGAAAGTTAATGTGTCAGGTCTACTTCCTGGCCTTTGTCTTAACCCACCTGCTGTTTTTCCAAAGCACACCAAAGCGCCGTCGGTCAATTAGTTCCTCGTGCATTTCGAGTGTGTTTTCCCGTGTCAGGTCAGGCCTCAGCAGCTCGTCTCTGTGGCTCAGTCTTGTGCTTCCTTTCACTTCTAGTTATTGCAACAATAGCAGCTCAATCAAAGCTGCCTTTACCACCCAATCTCCTCTGTCCTTGCGACATTAAAGTTGCATTATGGAGAGAGAGGCTGAAGGCTGTCTGCTGCATGGGTGAACAAAAGAGGTGTCTCGCTCCTTTGCAGCGACGTGGATGCTGCTTCTTGACTCTAATGTTGGTGAATGCCGTCGTGACTCAAACGCAAAGCTTTGATCAAAATGAGGTGATTTGCTCAAAAGCGCCACGATCATCAGAAGGTGTGAAACAAGGTTATTTGTGCAGCAAATAGCTGGAAACAGGAGACCGTCGTGTGTCTTAGCATCCAGGTTGTTTATACCCGGAGATAAAAGCGAGCGCCGCGGGGGACTAATGAATGAACTGAAAATACGACGTATCGGCAAATCATTATGTCGAAAGGACCTTTCGCTCGGGGAACATGGAGGCAAGCCTGCAGATGAAGATTTGTTGCACATCAAAGCCTTGATGAGAGAAGGACATCAGAAGAGTAATTTCTTTCGGCCATTGTGCAGAGACACGTATGCCGAGGAGCGAATAGATTAAAGGGGCATCCAAAGTGACATATTGATTGTTTCTGGTTTTTCTGCCGGATCTTTGTAGTTAAAAAAAAAAGCTACTCTCTAATTTGGCAAATCAAGGAAAGTATAAGGGCAATATAAAATGAAATGAAGTTGCATTTCAGGGACACAACGCACCTTCACGCCAAGTAAAAACACTTATTTCTTTTGACATCATGTGGCTGCACAATTGGGTTATGAGATGAACCAGCGGCCGTGGACGGTGCACAGATGGAATCCATCTCTGCCTGTGTTCAAGTCCTTCGCCATCTTTTCTCTCTCAGAGGAGTGAAGCGAGCAGACAGTGACCTGTGGGAGAAACAAGCCATGCGTTACGGAGGCAGATGTGCAGAGAGGATGATCTCCAGAAGTAAAAATCCCTTACAGGTTTCTTGTGTTGGAAAACACTCATTTGTTATCAGAGGGGCTGCTTTGTTTCACTTATCAGTTTTTAATGAGAAAGTTAAGAATTATTTCAATCAACAGGGCAGATCCTCCCTGTATATCCAATATGAATAAGCTCGTGAGGCTATAACGTGTTGGTTGTCCGCACCTGCTCTTTTTGTGCTCTGAGTGTTGACGTGGGGCTTAAAACACACGACTATGCAGTAAACTTTGAGTCGGTCAGCGATTTGACGGTAATGGTGAGCCAGGTGTCTGTCCTTTGGCCGGATGCCTGGAAATGGCTTCAGATTAGACTGTCAGCCAGGATGGAGCGGTCGGGTGGAGACACGCGGTGCTCCGTGGAGGGATTTTCATGAAAGGCATCCATCATGTCATTGGTGCGTCGCTCTGACCTGGTCGCAAAATCATTTCAGGGTGGGAGCTGCCCGATGTTAAGTGTCAGGAGCGTCATCTATCTATCGTCTGCTCACTGACTGTCTATATTTATTGATATATTATTATTTTTCTAGATCGTTTAATAGTAAATACATTTGATTTAAATTAATTGGGCCGAGCGTTCTCAACCTTTTTGGTGCATCTCACATTAACAAAAAACAAAATTAGAGAGAAATCAATCATATGTTTTCTGGCATCCCGTCTGGACTGTGTTGGGAAACACGTTATTAGACTATACAATATATTTGCTTTACTGTAAATCCCGATACCAGAAATTAAGAAAACTGGATCATTCTTTACCAATATTGGAAATTGGATCAAGAGCCAATTTCATCTCCGACCTCATGAAAACGAGCCAGTGCCATAAATGAAGCGAGGGAAAATATGCTCAGTGTATTATACAATTCACAAACTGGATTCATTAGTTTTTCATTTATTAATGTATCTCTCTGGGGATTTGATGGGACCTCATGGGACAGATCAGCAGCCATCATCTGGATTAAAACATACGAGGACTTTTTGGCAATCCAGGTCATCCGCTGAATGCCAATCGAATAAATCCACGATCGGCACAATGCCTGCTGTATATACACGTGCGCGCACCAACACACACGTGCAAAGGTCCCATTAAAAAAAAAACATCTGTCACTTCAGTGGTCTGCTTATCTCACCCAGCCATGTCGCCCCCCCGAGAGCACAAAGGCATCGGCGGTGTTTAATGTCCAGCAGATGAGTTTGTCGCTGCCCACGACGCTGATCACACACAGCCGTTTCCGTCCAACGCACACGCAACAGACATGCCGTTGGACGTAATTAATGCCTCATGTGATAAAAGCAGACAAAAGCAAGTCATGGCCTCACTTCACTCTGACTTAACGCCACCCTCAGCCAGCTCCACACACACACACACACACACACACACATCGCACACCTCCCTACCGCCCCCACACCTTCCTAAACAGACCCATAGTGACTCGGCCACCTCCTCACCCCACCCCCTCTGTGGACTGAGCTGCATGCTCACTGTCCCGAAAACATGATGAGCCAGAGCAGATGCAGCGGCAGCAGTGGCAGCAGCAGAGCGGCAGCGGCAGCAGCAGAGCGGCAGCGGCGGCAGCAGAGCGGCAGCACCTGGCTCAGGCGTCACGCAGCCTCTCAGTGACATTCTGCTTCGACTTGGCTGAGAGAGGCAGCTCATCCAGCTCAGCTCCCGCTGGGAGGAAAAGTTCTCCCATGTCCTCTCTCTTCGGCTGCCGAGCCGATTGTCATAATTAGCGAATGACTGAGGGAGGATGCTCTGCAACTTGAGGACACTTTTCTCATCTGGTCGCGGCGCGGCAGCGTCAGATGGCCGAGGGGGAACGTGATGCCGTTACTGTGTGCCTCCTGGTCTCCACCCTCATCCCGCTCTTCGTCCGTTTTTTTTCCTCCTCTGCCTCCGTGCGCAGACTTTTGCCTCGGACCATTCTGGCACGCGAGGGTCGAGCGGGCAGGAATTTCCCATCCACCTCCAATGCTCTCTCCAGCTGTGTGGTGAACCTGCTGCTCAGCGCCACACTTGACCCGAAGGCTTCCCGGGCAAAACAAAGGAATTAACCATGAACTTCACTCTCACCAGGAGACACAGTGTGCCAATGGACAGGGAGCTGTGAGATCTGTGGAAAGTTAACTGTGAGTACGTCCGTCTCTTATTACCTCTTATTTTCCATCAGTGACTCATTTCACATCCGCCAGAGAATTGTGATTGATTGAATATGCACTTTTGATGAATGCACAAATGCATGACCTGGATTTAAGGAGATGCAGCATCATCATGTGTGCACCAGTGCATGTCTGAGAGGTCTCCGCATGTATTTTTAATGTGGGCTTTTACCGTAATGAAAGCAACACAGGATGTGCTGCCTAACAGATTTGTGTGCTTCTCTTCTTCTGGAAGACATTGTTGTATGTAGAGATTAGACCAGATTGCATAAGTATTTATTTAGTTACATTCCTGATGCATTTGAAAGGCTATACTAGTTATTTTTGAATTCATCAAGGGAATATGTGCTTCCAAATGCTGGTCGGTAGGTCTGTAGAAAAATCCTCATTTCAACTGCGTAGAGCTAAAATTCCCCCCCAAAAAATTGAACTGCCTTTTGTATTTCTTTCCACCCCCCAAAAATGAGATCAACCAACGTTTCCTTCCAGGTTCTCACCGCCTTTACCCTACTTCTCCTCCGTTTGGTGGAAATGACAAAGCACGAAGTGAAGCGTGATTTTAACGACCACACATGCCTCACAAATGTAAATGTAAAAAAACAAGAAGTTGTTACCGTAAAAGAAGTAATGGTTTGGTGATTAAATTGTGAAATTATCGATGGTGGTCTAGGATTTGTCCAGCAGAGAACAACTACAGCACCAGATAATTTGCTCTAATTTCACATATAGATGTATATTTAGTGTATATTAACAATGTAGTGAGTGTACCCTCAAGGGGCAACACTTCCATCATTTAAATGGAAATTAATATTTGAACATTTTGGAGGTTATTCAAACTATTAAACTTGTTAGATGTGACATCAGCAGAAATTAGGTGCACTACGAGTTGGGAGACATAATAGACACAGAGAGACAGACAATCGTCTTTAGAAAGCTACTACAAGAACGCAAATGACTTTATAGCCTGATCATTAACCAAAATGATGGGGCGTTAATGAAATGTTCTTGTTTCTCATGAAAAATAACTCCCTGAAACGTTCTGCATTTGTTTTTCATTCCCTTAAGTACCTGCCAGAACCACTGGAGCGCCCATAAGCAGATCACAATATTCATCTAGTGATCAGCGGTTCTCTCCGGGGAAGAGATTTAGCCTGAATGATGATCCAAATCAAAAGAAGGGAAGACATTTTAACCTTGAACAAACAAAAGGCAGAACGCATTCCCCCTTTTGTTTGCCACAAACAATGGCCCACTGATAAATAATTCAGGTTGCATGTGTAGGTCCCGGGTCTCGCATTTAACATTTAGAATCCTCTTTCATTCTCCTCCTCCCGCACAACACACAGAATGATCCCAGCATTACTTGTATTCTCATCCTGAACGCCACATGTGCAGGAATCTCAAACACGGGTCAGCGGGCCGACGACGGCGGGATGTAACGAGCGAGCCAAATAGCTCCGGGGCTCATTTGCATTTCATACGTACTCGCCACGCAGACAGACTTTGCCTTTCCTTTGCTCCCTCTGTCTCCTTCTTTGGTTCCTCTCATCTTCTTTCCCTTTCTTCCATAAACGCCGAACACACACACAATTGATTTTCTGTTTGCAGCGTGTAGATAGAAAAAGGTCACGTATGACTGGGAGGCCAAGTGGAGGCCGGCCTATGGCGAAACATGTCCTCAGCACGGAGGCACCGGACAGATTTTTGGACACTTAATCAGTGGATCAATGACCATTAGTTTGTGCTTTGCTCTCACAGTATTCTAAGTGAACGTCTAATACTCTTAGGATGTATCCATAATGAGAAGGTTTTCATAAAGAGGGAGGGGAAGACATGTATTTGGTATTGATTTATTCTCATGGGTATTACTTCTTTATTCTCGGACACTGCGTGACCCAGGTCCCGATACAGGCGCCATGCTACCAGATGTTATGCAGCACTGCGACGCTTTTATTAACAGACGTTTTGACCAGACAGCATGCAAAGCTCTCTCCCGCCTCGTGATACTGAACTGCATCCAAAACAAAGTTGGTAAAGAGGCCACAACAGAACACATTCTCTATTTATAGCGATGCAAAATCCGTGTTTACCCCACACTCTGAGCTCTGAGTGTACCATCAAGACGCTTCCTGCTCCGATTTAGAAGCTATTAGCAGGCTTGACCTGTTGAGGTCAGAAGGTTAAACAAGTCCATTCCAACGTGTATGAAGGTTCTAACTAATTCATGATTATTTGTGTCATCACAAGGTTCATTTAGTTTTGGTTCAGAATAGAAACACTAATAATAAAACCCACCACCCTCTTTTCATCCCGTCCTGTGCTGCACTGACTTTGGTCCCTACAGTTTAAAATGAGTCATAGAACACTACAGAGAGCACAGAGGGCTGCGTGGATGACGTACTTTACCATCTCACTGGTTACCTCCACAGAAAGCCGATGGAATTCTCCTTCACTGGATTTTGGAACACTTCAGAAAGTCTCAAGTCACAAAATCCTCACAAATAAACAGCACTTTCAAGATTTTAAAAGTTGAAAGTTGAACAAAAGCGCACTACTCAGAAGGAGGCCGTCAATGCTGACTTGTTGCGAGGTCATTAGCTATTCAGCCCCTTCATAGTTGTGTGTTGTTGTGCGAGTGGTTTCTGTCAAGACAATCGATAAGAACGGTTCGTTCATCCCAGGAAGCAGCAGAGACGCATTCATTACATCTTCTTCACTATCAGTGTGATGATGTGGGGCTTTCGAGAGATGCAATATGAGAGGCGCCATTCTGCAACAAGAGGAGGACAACCCCAGTCCAGCGGGAGGACCCCCCACTCGGTGACAGGAATGTTATTTGTGTGGCCCCTCTGGCTGCTGCTGGCACGCCGGTTAACCATGGCGCCGTCAGACGAGTGAGGAAATTATTTTTCTCAATTACCGCGAGGTGACTTGCCTCAAGCGTTGCATTGTGGTCTGAATTGTGATGGCATCACAATCGGGCGTATAGTCGATTGGTCTCCACGTTTGCTTTTGTGTATTATTGCATACAAACATCCACAAACCCCATGCAGGAGATGATCGTCCCCTAACTTCACCGTCCCACACTCACTCACACACTCCCATGGTACTGCCATGTATTTGTAGGTCACGAAATGGACCAACGTCACCTGTCTGACCTGAGGGAAACGTTTGTACAGCGAGTTTCCACGGGGAGGGTGTTTGCTGTCCTCTACTGGAGCGGGGAGCGTAGTTACCTGTGAGCGCTTCACATTCGTCTTTGTTATTTTAGACACGTTCAATGCTGATTAGTCCAAAGCTCATTATGAAGAGAACACACAATGTGATTTGATGTACTGAGTTGGACGTAATCTATGTTTGGCTTTGGATACAGAAAGACTGACATTTAGTTGTTTAAGCAATGTTGAAATGAAAATGTTTAAAGAGAAAAGACGAAGTATAGTGCAGGAAGAGGGAATTGCTTCATTGCATTTTCCAGGAGATGCAACTGAAACGTCGTAGCAAAAACAATAGCAATGGAATATGTATGTTTTGTATATTTCTTCTTTTAAGGATGCATGACAAACACTGGTTTGACATTTATTTTTAAAGTGCAAAACATGAAGGTCTTACACTATTTTCAGTCTCCAGCATGAATATGTGACGCTCATTATGCTGATTTAATCTATTTAGTGGCAGCAAATAAACATTTAAGGAATAACATTTTGCTTCTTCTTCTCACCAGGAGACCAGAAATGCCAAATTGAAACACTCTTGTCATGATTGGATTTTAATTAACAAAAGGACACCATGGAGGGAGACGGCGTCCTGAACTCCACTGTAAACACCACCGCCATGGATTTCCACCCGGTCAGCCACAACCTGTGGGAGGTGATCTCCATCGCGACTGTGTCGGCCGTGGTCAGCCTCATCACCGTCGTGGGGAACGTGCTGGTGATGCTCTCCTTCAAGGTCAACAGTCAGCTGAAGACGGTGAACAATTACTACCTGCTGAGTCTGGCAGCCGCCGACCTCATCATAGGTGTCTTCTCCATGAATCTCTACACCTCGTATATACTGATGGGCTACTGGGCCCTGGGGAACCTCGCCTGTGACCTGTGGCTGGCGCTGGACTACGTCGCCAGTAACGCCTCGGTCATGAACCTGTTGGTGATCAGTTTCGACAGATACTTTTCCATCACTAGGCCGCTGACCTACAGGGCCAAGCGGACCCCCAAGCGAGCCGGGATCATGATAGGTTTGGCCTGGATGGTGTCGCTTGTTCTGTGGGCCCCGCCTATTCTCTGCTGGCAATACTTTGTGGGGAAACGGACGGTCCCTGAGAGGCAATGCCAGATCCAGTTTTTCTCTGAGCCCGTGATAACCTTTGGGACAGCTATCGCCGCCTTTTATATTCCTGTATCGGTCATGACGATCCTATATTGTCGAATCTACAAGGAGACAGAGAAGAGAACCAAAGATCTGGCAGAGCTGCAGGGGATTAACTTCCCCAGCGACCCCGGGGTCGCCCAGCCTCAGAAGCCCATCGTCAGGTCATGTTTTAGCTGTAAATTGAGGTCGACCTCACATGACAGGAATCAAGCCTCTTGGTCCTCCTCCAGCAGAAGCAATGCGGCCAAGTCGGCGGCCACCACCAACGACGAGTGGTCCAAAGCTGGTCAGCTGACCACCTTCAACAGCTACGCCTCGTCCGAGGACGAGGACAGGCCCGCGTCTCCGGGGAGCTTCCAGCCCTCCTTCAGGAACAAGGCTTGCGAGACCATCAAGGGTGGAGTGGGCAGCGAGAGCGAGCAGCTCAGCAGCTATGAGGAGGACAGCTTCTTCCAGACGCCACCCAAAAGCAGCTCCCAGAAGAGCGGCAAGTGCGTGTCCTACAAGTTCAAGCCTGCGGCCAAAGACGCTCCCGTGGAGCACCGCGGCAAGAACGGAGACACCAAAATGGCGTCGTCGGCGTTCTCCTCCGCCGAGTCCATGAGCGTCCCGTCCGCCTCCTCGACGTCTAAGCCCATAGACGCCACGCTGAAGAGCCAGATCACCAAGAGGAAGAGGATGGTGCTGATCAAGGAGAGGAAGGCGGCTCAGACTCTCAGCGCCATCCTGCTGGCGTTCATCCTAACGTGGACGCCTTACAACATCATGGTGCTTATTTCCACCTTCTGCTCGGACTGCATTCCCCTCTCCCTCTGGCACCTCGGCTACTGGCTGTGCTACGTCAATAGCACCGTCAACCCCATGTGCTACGCCCTTTGCAACAAGACCTTCCAAAAGACCTTTCGAATGCTCTTACTTTGCCAGTGGAAGAAGAAGAGGATTGAGGAGAAGCTGCACTGGTACGGACAAAACCCCGTCGTCAGCTCCAAACTGACATGAACTATTGTTATTTTTAAATACAGGATATTGCTGTAAATAAAATGTTAATCTTGGCTTCACGAACTATATCAAGGAGCTGGTTCAATTTGTAGTTTAAATGGTTCATTAATCGATACGTCTGCAGCAGTATATGTTGATTACTGCTCAAACATTGGAAATGGAAAAAACACATAAAATTGCCCCAACAAAGTCAAAACAAAACACATTTTAGGGATTCCGTGGGTATTGTGCCAGTGCTGAAGACGCACATTTTGGAATTGTGGTTTTATTTTAAAGGGCTAATACATGTCGTCCTGATGTCAGAAACTTGATGATAATCAAAGCCTTTTCACGTGTGCTATTGCAATTTAAGGATGAGCGAATATGCCTCCAACTTCCTTGTTTTCACGTCTCATCCGCTGCGTTTTCTGTCCTGCTTCATCTCAGTGAACAATATTGAGTAATAATTCCATAAATTAAAATACAAATATGACTCAACGCTTCTGATCCAGCGCACAAAATTGAATACTTATTTTACTCATACTTGCTAAATAATGTCAATGTTTACAACTATTGTGGAGGATTCAAAAGTACACTTTGTTTCTTACAAGTTTATTAGTTTTCCTCCTCCGGATATTTTCTTTTTCCATGAGCATTGAAATACAGTACAATACATTTGTTTTCTGTGAATATCTGTAGCTTAATCAATATGCCATCATATCTTCACTGTACTTCTGGCAAACTTGTAATGTTCTGTGACAAAGAAAATGCTGTTTGTGAAATGTTCTTCTGTGTCAGCATTGGATGGGAGCTATTTTACATCCTTCATAAGCTACAATGTCATGAAACACTTTTTTTGTAGTCGTGATAATAAAGAAATATGCACTTGCAACGTGGGGAATGGTGACCTGCTTGGCTTCATGGTGATCGATGCAGACAAATCTACAGCTAAAACCCGCCAGCATTTTTATACTGTGTTCAAAATCTGTGATCCACTTTCCTGTTCTCTGTATTTTGTGATCATTTCAATAAAACGTGGTGAATTTAATGTCCAGACAAATGGAGTGATGCAGCTCTCTGTTGGGTTCGCTGCAAAGAAGACTTTTCTCTTGGCCCCCCCAGTAGTTGCCAAACTGTCACAAACCCTGTGTCCTCACAGCTCATCCTTCTTGCAGGTTTCGCTTTGAATCAGTTTAACGGTGTCCGTGGGCCTCACCATCATCCACGCGTACTTGCACAGCCGCTCCTTGTTGCAGTCCTTCTGCCAGTAGATGACGTTCCTGCGGTTGAGGTTGGCGCCGGCGCAGGCGTCGTACCACCAACCTCCTCCCGGCACCCCCTGAAACTCCAGCTTAGCACAGTTTTGGAAGTAGTTGTCATTGTCTCGGTCTTTGGTGGTGAATCTCTGGTTGTCGTGCAGGTAGTTCTCTGTGTCCAGGGTGAGAGCGTCTACAGCCGTGCCCTGGAACAACCCCAGCCTCAGCCTGTAGGCCGACGATTCGTCCTCCACCAGGAACGGATCGTACTCCCCCGTCTTGGTGACGGCGTCTCGGTCCACCAGCTTCACTCCCAGCTTAAAGCGCCCGGGGCCGCTGGTGAGCTGATGGAGGTAATTGTTCCCCAGCCAGTGGTCGCCGGTTACGGCCCCGAAGCCGTCCTTGTACTCAGCCCAGGTGCGATCAAAGTTCACGCTGCTGTTGACGGTGATGTGCTGCACCACGGTCCAGCCTCCCTCCTGCATTGCGCAGTAGACCACGATGGGGGAGTCCCCGGGTTTGATCAGGTACACACCGTCCAGAGCCTGGCCCGAGGACCTCATCAGCATTTCATGGCAGTCTCTGGGCAGCACTGTCGGGTAAATAAACATATTAGGACATAACTGTCTAGATCGGAGTGGAGACAGACTGTACACCAGTGCCATTTTTTGGTATTTTTGTGTTTCACCATGCTCACATGAAAACATATTTACAGGTATTTCTATTGAAGTTAATTCATTTCAAATAAATCACATTTTTATAATAATAAATTGACACTTTGTTGTCAAGAGCGAAATGAGTAAAAAAAGTCTTCTCAACCAACTCTTTGCAATAAAATAACCAAATGATTTGCTGCCACTCTGTGAACAGTTTAGCTCACAGCGCGCTGGTAAACAACAACAATCCGTCATTACGTTGATGGCATCTCAAAGTCTCCCAGGTTCAACCTTGACCAATGGCAGGACCGTTCCCTCCGCTGGTCTGACATGCTACGTGACTAAGATACGGGATGAGCCGTAACGTGTGTCATTAATGAGTCACTGAGAAATTCTACAGGCTGGAATTTGACCCACAGGAGAATCCACACTGATATAATCTGAGATAAAGGCGATGCAAACTCTAAAAGCAATCGCTGGATTGTTTCACACCCTGAACCACCTTTACCAGCTAGAGTTTCTAAAGATTCTGGACGGATAATAGGAACCAGAGAATTGAGATAAAACCAGCAAAGAGAAGCGGATTGGTACGCGCCTCTCATCCCGCGGTTCAGCACCACGTCGTGTGCACCCGGTGGAAGGAGGATCAGGTTCTCGGCTTGGAGACGCTCCCCGACGACTCCGGTCACACCGAGCAGCAGCAGCAGGGCCTCCGCCAGCAGCCAGCACATCCTCCGCTTCATCCTCCGCTGTCCTCTAGTCGTCACAAAACCACGGCCTTCAGTCAACGGCGCCGAACGCCCGAACCCAGCTGACTGTAATAATAAGCAGCGCGCTAAAAACATTACAGCACCGAGGAAAGTGTTACCTTGAGTGAATGCGGCGTGGAGACGTGTCGTCCTCTCCCACGCTCCCCGACTGCGGTCGAATGCAAACAGTCTGCTGCTGACAGTTCACAGAATGGCAGGTCTGTTTTTTTTTTTTTTACACAGCTGCCCTGTCACAGCTGGACTTCAGCCTCCGGTTCACATCTCGACGCGCAGACACCCACCAGTCACTTATCTGTGTCAAGTGAGATAAAGCCTCATGTGAACGGGGCTCGGTAAGCCCATATCTCTTGCCAACGTTACCAAATCCCGTCAGGACTGAATGAGTCTGAAGTCCGGGTGACGCTGAGTCCGTTTGAATTAGATGCGTCGCTGCTGATCTTGCTCAGTAGCCGTGAATTCAAGTGAAGCCCATTGATGGGTTAAAAGTGCAGCACGTCCGGGTTAAAAACACGTCAGCGCTATCTTCTCCCACAGGAGAGGCTGATCACAACTGTGTTGATTGTAACAAATATAAATACCAACAATACACTTTAAAATTGAAAAAAAAATTAACTTTATTCATCATCAGTGGTGCAATAACATACAACAGCTACACACAGAAGCCTCTTATGTTTTTTTGATTCAACTTGAACTGCACAGTGATGAAACTCTTCTCGTTGCCCATAATTACAACATCCTATAGTAAAAACGTAAAGAGACAATTAAGTAAAATTCATATTGCACATTATCAATATTTCAACCGTTCAAGTTCATCTGCCGGCCCAAAAATCCATCACGATCTAGAGTTACAGTACGGTAAAACCAACTCCAACCGAGAAAGATCCGCTGTCCTTCTCTCTGTCGCCGCTAGGTAAGTTGAGACAGGAAGGAGTCAATGACCTGAGGGAGAAGAATGAGAAAATGCAAAGGCAACAATGGCCGGGGTAATGATTTTATTCATCTGTGCGGCTCTGACCTTTGTCATGTCTCCAGCAGGTCCGGGAACAGATTTTAGTAAAGGTTCCTGGTGCCAGAGCTCCGCCAACTGCTGATTAAAGGCCTGGAAATTTCTGTAGTAAAGTTTAATAAATACTTTGTCACAAAGGTTGCGTATAATAATCTACACATTAGGCCAAATACTTTTGTTAAAAGGGGCAAATTCTGTCAACCGCTGAGCCATGCTGCGTGCATTTATATTTGGTCGACTGTTTCAGTTAAATACATGCAGTATTTATTCGTCTCAATGATCATACAGCTCAGGAAACAACACTTACTTATCCAGCGGAAGTTCAGTCGATCCACCATAGCCGCTGGTTTTTAGGTCCCGCCACCAGTTTTTCAAAACTGAAATGATCCACTTTAACCCAACTATTAAATACCTGTGAGAATAAAAGGCAATACTTATTTGATTAGTATTTGTTGTCATCATCCTTCCACGTATTGTCGTTTTATAATGACTACAGTGCAAAGCCCTACACCGTGGTAGGAATACTCACTCTTCATATGGATTGGTGAGAACCTTCCTGACTAAAGGAAAGAGGTCAACACAACAACCAATGGTGACGGTGGGAGAGGCCTCGTCAATGCTGCAGAGGAAAAGTGATCGAGTTAATGGCGGCTCCACTTGTGGACGGTGTCGGCCCGACATATTTCACCCACCTTTTGATGATCAACGGGAGGAGATCAACAAACACAGCGATGTCTTGTATCCTGTGCAAAAACAGGGTGCTTTAGAGATCCAAGCAAAAATACCGCACGTGGCGTTTTTTTAATCAGACTGGACCTAACGTACCTCAAAAAGTACGTCAGCAGCTCTCCGACACTTCTCCGCCACAACGTTTGAGATACTTTCAGTCTCAGATTTCTTCCAAAGAGCACATTGGTCATTGTGCTGTGGTCCCTTGTGAGCTGAAACACATGGTGTGGTTCACATTACCACAAAGAAACACAAGAGACAGAAATACAGTCTGAGCTGGGAAAGCGTTCCTGACCTCAGTGAGTGAACTGTGGGCGGCTAGTTGAGAACCAGTCTTCCCAGTCTCTGGGTTGTTGTCGACTTGGAGTGGGAACTCCCACAGGTCCACGTCCTGCACGCACTTCATCTCATTCTCCTTATCGTGCATTTTCCCGATGGCGGGCTGCTTCCTCCGGGTCACTGTCAGGTGATGGGTCTTCCTCTTACAGGACACCACCCGCTTCACTTTACCCGGGTTGTTCCCAGAGCGACTCACCGGATGCCTGAGCAAGGTCAAATGTTCAAAGTTCATTTGAAAACCGAAGCGCATCATGTACTTGCAGTTACGTAGCCACAAAACATGCAACGACATACCGCTTCATGTTGAGCTGCTCATTTTTACCGCAGTCCATCTGCACAGAAAAATACATTCAGCACGGTGACAAATAACACAACTGTAGGCATCAAGAGGCTGAGCTTATATAACTACGTCAGTGTGTTTTCATGCATTTCCAGCTCACAACTTTTGTGTCTCTCCGACAAGGATGCGAGTCAGGTTCCAGATTTTGGTACTCTTCATCCTCACTGTTGGAGTCCATCATATCTAGACGAAAAGAAACCTTAATCAGTCTTAATACATTTCTAGACCTAATTAATACGAGCACACAGATATTGGGGTAAAGTCACCTCAGTATGAACATCACAATGAATGTAGCCCATTATTCCCAGCAATCATTTTGTCTTTAGTCGTTTAAAAATTAAAAATTAAAAAACTAATGCAGTTTCATTGGATTGTCAGACCAAAACACGTGAAAACACCATTTCCCACAAGCCACCTGCGCGTGACGTAACAAGGAACTGCTCCCCGGCAACAGCCGAGTTGTGTTGTGAGTGTTTGTTAAGTTAGTCATTTAACATTTAGCTGAATTATTCGCGTCAGCGTGTGTTCGAGGCCTATTGTGCGTTTAGTTCACAGAGATGAATGAAACTAAGTTATTGTATTCGCAGCGTTAACTTACGCTAGCGTAACGCAGCGCAAGTTAACAACAGTGAGCAACGTTAAATATGTCGCCTGCTAACAGCTAACATTAAGCTAACATTAAGTTAACATTAAGTCGGCTGACGTTGGATAGAAATGCTTCCGCAAATAATCCATAATATGACAATATGTGACACAAATCGCCTAATTGATCCCGGACGGCGTCGCTCACCTTGTTTTCCATTCCTACGCGGACACAATACTATAAAACCTTCCCTTTGATTCTTTTTAGGCTACTGACAATAACTTGTTAGAAATGCTAACAACTGATGCCAACTGAATGCCAACCGATTCCAGCGGCCGATTGTCCGCCCGAATCAGAGAATAAAGCGTCCCGTTCATGGTGCAGCGTGTGGCGCGCGCCCTCTAGCGACCACCGGGACACTCGTGGTGCGAAACCCCAAAACCAAACCTTTCGTTGAGGTGTCTATTATGATTTGTGCTTAGAGGCCTTCCCAATTAGCTGTAATGCGTTCAGCGTAGCTACTGAAAAGGCGTCAGCTGATCAGGGTGCTTGGGCTCAAATGAGCGTGTGCCTTTTCTTTTATCAGCACCGGAGCGGTTCTGCAAAAAAGGCGCTTCATTGACCTCAGTCAAGCTGGGGCTTGTGAGATCATCTCGGCCGTGCTTGAGCTCACTTCCCTGAATGCACAATGAAAGAGCCTCGGCAGCTTCTGTTGACACGTCGTCTCTGTGTCAAAGCTGACTCCGTGGTTTCAGTTCTGCAGGCTCATCGCCCGGGTTGATTGCTGCAGAGATCATCATCATCATCATCATCATCATCATCAGAGAAGCGAAACATGGCCTTCGCTGTGTGAACTGGCGCTGAGGTCAGGCCTGATGTTGACTTTGCAAAACAGCCTCTATCAATAGACTTGTCATGTGATGTTTGGCACGAAAGCCTTGGGCCATGTGATTTCAGCGACAGGATTGTTTCATTTCCTCTGTGTGTGTGTGTGTGTGTGTGTGTGTGTGTGTGTGTGTCTGTTGCTACTTTAAACAGGTTGCTGTTCTCGCAGGGCAGCGTTGATTAAAATGATGTCCGTTCAAGCTGCCTGTGCCTTGCTCAGCCTTGCGCCCCTGTTGGTGCTTGGTGATCCCCCCATTTGGACCCAGCCAGAGCAAGTGCACCTCTCTTATCCAGGCAAGTGTTTGAACAGTTTCCATCAGCCTCCCGTCTTTTTCATTTAGGATACACTTTTCTGTTTCACGGAACAAGTCTGTATCCAAGGGCAAATGAATTGCAGATTTCCAGATGTTTTGAACAAATTAACTCCATATTATGACTGAAATCACTGACACATTCGGGCAGCTTAAAATGTTGTTCACCGATGTTAAGATTTTGGATTGATATTTCTAAAAAATATATATGTTTTATACATTACAGTTAATTTAGTGTTAATTTAGTTAATTTAGATCCTTAAATTAAAAGTTCCCGGTTGCTTTGAAACACTACTTGTCCACTCTGTGTGATGCATTCAGGTAAAAGGCACCTGATCATTGCCAGTGTGTATAGAAGCTGAGGTTCCAGTCTATGCAGCTCACTCCTCGTGAAGGTGAAACAGGGGAGTCATTAAATGCGTTGATGTCTACATGAAATGAATACCTGGCCACTTGTCCGCTTATCTCAGCTCTCTGATGGTTCTATCTTCAAAAGCACAGCTCTTGTGTTCCACAGATGCATCTGTGAGTCCAGCCAGTTGTTCCGTCAGATCCACATCACAACTCCACAACAATTGTGTTTTCTCCACACAGGAGCGCCCGGTTCAATGGTGGTGACCTGGACCACCTTCAATGAGACAAAGAGCGAGGTGGAGTACGGACTTCTGGGGGGTCGGCTCTTTGAGATGAGCGCCCGCGGTGACGCTGCTCTGTTTGTGGACTCTGGCGAGGAAGAGCGAAAGATGTACATCCACAGGGTCACTCTCACAGACCTCAAGCCTGCCGCTACCTACGGTGGGTGCCGCTTAAATACGACTCGCTTCCTCTCACAGCACCACGCCACCATGTCGGAAAGGCTTCTTTTTTTTTCTCACTCACGGGTCATTTCAGTCTACCACTGCGGGAGTGATGACGGCTGGAGCGATGTGTTCTCCTTCGCCGCTCTGAACGACAGCGCCAGCTTCAGCCCCCGATTCGCTCTGTACGGCGACCTGGGCAACGAGAACCCTCAGTCGCTGGCTCGGCTGCAGAAGGAGACTCAGCTCGGCATGTATGATGCCATCCTGCACATAGGTGAGCTCTCCGCTGATAAAGAAGATCGCCAAAGGTCAAAGCAGTCAGGAAGGCGACGTTTTAACAGCTGTTTTCTCAGGCGTTTGTGATCCACAGATACCTGGCACAACACTAGCATGAATCCAAAATGTGTTATTATAATATACTGATGGTTGCGTGCCAGTCATTTGCTCCCTCCATTGCTTGTGGGCACTTGGAATCTAAAGAGATAATAGTTGAGTCAAAATGAGTTTGCCTAAAAGAAAATGAAAGAACATTATCTTTAATTCTTTGCCTTTTGTTGGCTTTTCAAATGAAACGTTACGTTAAACACTGTTTTACAGCCACTTTACACGGTTACAGAGAATATAATTCTTCTTTTGTTTGAGGCTGGCCACAGTCCGCTTGTCAGAGTATTCAAGTTATTGGTCAATATTTTAGTTGAGAAGATTGATAGCATTGTTATGACTGCACACAAAGCACAAAGTAAATCAGCCAAAAGCCTGCTGGCGTCTCTAAAGTTCACCATATGAAATTCGTTTTAAACCAGTAAACAAATTGTCAACTATCCATTTTGGATTTTGCATTAAACACAATATAATGTGTCAGGTAATGAGCTTTAAGCGTGCTGGCTGGCAAGTTTATTAACTATGTTTCCAGTCGTAATGCTTATTGAAGCTGGCTGTTGCTGTATAATTAGTGACATACATGAGAACATTATTTTTGTGTGAAATTGTTCTGCAAGAAAGCTATTGAGTGTATTTCCTTAAATGTTGAACTATTACATAATAGTTTAATAAATGTAATAAGTGCATTATTCCTATGATCAAGATGTAAGCGCAGCTTGTTTCTGCTGCACAGATATTTCTATTGCTTTTACTGTGGGAGAGAGAATCACCGTTCATCCCCTTTTCTTTTGTTTCCAGGTGACTTTGCCTACGACATGCATGAGGTACTTTACTCTTCTGTCTTTTCAATATCATTAACTGATCCTGATTGTTCCCAGTTAAGGTAAATGACAGCGAATGTCTGTCAGCAACAGCGTACATTCTTAAAGCCCTTCTTCTACTCCTCTACTTCCACAATGACGGATGAGATAAGCCGCCTTGAGACTCGCCGCAGTTTGTTACGGGTGGATATGAAGGCTCTCGGCTGCGGTCGGGACACGCAGCTCATGATTAGCGTTACTCTCAAGCGCCGTAAGCCTGCGGTGAAAGATGATAGTCGGGGTCATGTCGCCCAAGTATTTCTGAAATCCAATAAGCGTCATTCAAAACCCAGATTGTTGAGTCTCAATAACACATTTGCTAATCTGAAAACACCCCCGACTGTCTGTGATATTTGGCATAAATTTGTCTCGGATACTTTTTCCTGAATTTACGCCTTGCATTATTCATGTATTTTTTGTTTTTTTCTCCTAAAAAAAAAAAAAAAAAGACCCTGAATGCTGACATCAGACTACTGCGCACATAAATGACCATAATTCCTCCAAGCTGCGTTTTATAACTGGAATGTGCAAGTAAAGCTTCTGGCTGCACTGATATTATGAACAGAAGAACAGAGAGACGATTTCATCCGAAAGGTCATTCGTGTTTGTGGCAGAAAGCCGCCACCGCAGCCGTTAACCCCCGACACGCCATCAGAAGCTGCACATCCGTGTTGTTTGATTATGACGCAGAACTTGAATAGGAGTAAAATAAAAACGTGAGGTTCCGCAGTGACAGTCGGTACAGACTTTGCGGTCAAACAGGATAATGTCTACGTCGCTTTTCCAGGACAACGCCAGGATCGGAGATGAGTTCATGAGGCAGATTCAGTCCATCGCCGCCTACGTGCCCTACATGACCTGTCCAGGCAACCACGAGTCGGCATAGTAGGTGCAAGCCCGTTTCCTTTTTTGTTTTTCTTCAAGGGGCCAGCGTGTCGGACTTACTGGCTCGTGTGGTTTCAGATGGCGACCCGTTGGAAACCCGTCTCTAAAGCCGGTGTTGCGGTTGTTGATTTTTTTTTGGACTCTGTGAATATGACAGGGCTCATTCTAGGCTCATAAAAACACAGCAGAGCTTTGATTCAGCTGATTATACTTTGATGAAAAACATGATAATAAATATTGTTTATGCCAATGGACGTCCCAAAGCTTCACGCCGTGGGACGTTCACAGTCGGTGAGACAACATGGAAGCTGTGCGACTGTCTCCTGTCTGTCTTCTGCTCTCGATTAGCTAACGGTTTCCTTTGTGTTTACATATTAAGCTGCCACATTCTGCTCCGGGGCCTAAGTATGATTAATGGGTTTTGGGTAAAAATAGCAGTGCATCCACATCGGTGAGAGACGCTTGCCAGACACCTCGTGACTGATTGCATTCGGAGCTGGCGACTTATCTCTGTGTGGACCCGCGAAAAAGAACCTTTTTCTAGCGAAGCCGCTCGTCATCGAACGCGTCGCTTACTTGAGAATTCGAGAGACGACGGGACCGATGAGTCCATTTGCGCAACTTAAAATCATCGTCATTTGATGATGTTTGAAAAAACGAAATCTGAAACGTTTGCTGGATCCAGCGTCACAAATGCGAGGATTTGAATTCGGCCTCAATGGAAGTAAATTGGATATCTTTCAATTTTCAAGTCCGGAAGCCAGATAAATTGTATTTTGACGATGACACGTCGCATGTTGAATAAAAATATGAATTTGTTGCAGCCCTAAACAACTTAACAACCTTATAGTACATTGATGTGCTGACATTTATATTATCTTGGTCCCTGTTAGCTTTTTTTCATGCCCCACAATGTAAATAATTATTTTGTGTTTTACATTTTTGACCGAATAGCAAAGAAAAATGTGCTGCTTGTTTGAAATATTATTGCAAAATACCCCATAATAAGTCAGGTTGTTTTGTTTAGGATGATTAAAGACGTGGGGAGACGAAGCCCCAGATGCTTTTCCTCCCGAGGAGTAGCAGTTTAATGAATCCATAAATTTCCAGCACATGTGCCGGAGTCACTTGTGCGTTCACAGCTGCCTGCATAATATTTACCCGCCGCTGCTACGCTGAGGCGCTGCTCGCCGTGTCAAATGTGACTGCTGCCTGCTCTCTGTCGAGGAGCTGCTAACGGTAGTCTCTTTTTCTTGGCTCCGCGTCGTCATATCAAGAACGAGCTCGCCGCGTTACCCGACCAGAGATCCCGCTCCCCTCGCTCCCTCTCTAGAAGTGTGTTTTGCTCTGTGGTTTTGTCTGGAATCCAAATATTTCCTGCAGTTCTCTTCCTAGCGGCCCGGCGCGCTCCCCCTCGCTCCGCTCCTCTGTGACTTCCACTGCTTCCTTTTAATGTCCGTGAGCGTCTGGATTAAAGGGGAGATTTGATTGAGAGGGAGAAATCTTGTCGGGTCAGTTTAAGACTTGATTTTGACGATCGCCCATTTTATTTTATTTTTTTGCATCATGTTGGAATAGAAAAGCAAACACACATGGGAATAAGCAAACCTCTTATTCCAGAGGAATGTGCTACGTTGGTCTCCCGTAGTGCAGGTTAATGGAACTCATGTTCTAGAGACCTTTGATTCATTCAAATGGATGCTAAATGTGACGTTTATTTCGATTGGACGCTGCACATCGCTGCCCGTACGCGTCCTCTCCACACGATGGGAGTGTTGACCCATTCAGGGACTGTTTGGTTCAATGCTGTGACTGAGAACTTCAGACCACGAATTTCTGTCGATGCATTTGGTTGCAAATGCATCGATGCTCATAATAGTTTGACACCTTTTGAGATCACAGTCCACAGGCTGCCTCTGCTGGGTCATCACACTGACTGTCTCATCATCGTCAAACTCATTTGTATTACCAACGGTCACTCATGATCCATTTCCATCCCTTGCCGTTGACCTCTGACCCCACTGGTTTCTAGTTACCCCTCTCCCTACCATAAAAACTCCACAATTCTGCCCTTTGTTTCCTCCTTATGTAAGATTCTTAATGCCCCGTTGAGAGGAATGGCTCCGGCTTTAATGTTTAAATTAAAAAGCGTGTGAAGAGACTGGCGAAATGGCGCGAGGGACAGCTCTGCATGAAGATCGCTGTGATTCTGCACTCTTGGGTGATTTTGAATGTTTCTCGATGATGTCGCCCGGAGCCTCGAAAGGAGTTGTGAAGAAGACTGTAGCTCACTGCGAGCATCTTCCCGTATCTGCACCGCGTACGAACCGCCGCGCCAGGGCTGAACCGCCCGACGTCCATCCCATCTAAATCCGTTCCTTTCAAGAGGTCCCACGGTTTTTTAGAGGGGTATATTTAGAGGCCTTTCTTCTTGATTGACAGGTGTAGTGCGCTCAGCCCCGATGCCTCCGACTCGCTCGACCCATCTGGGGCCCGCCCCGCGCTGCCCGAGTTTGAGCCTGCGCTTCGAGCCCTCCTATCGGGAGCCGATAGGCTGAAGCCGCAGAATCTACGTCCGTGTTTTTCTGCAGCCTCTCATTTGGACAGGCAGCCACTGATACGTTGGCGACAGCAAATTGTACGGTTTCTCAGAATAGCTCTCAGTTTGAAGCAGATGTCACCGCCACAGCTTGACGGTCAACTTTATCCACTGATTTACCACCCAGAGTTTTCTACAGAGATGAGATGAATACAGAGAAGTGACACGAAACAAATGAACTGCACCAACACGAGGCACTTACTTTAAGAAATGCTGGCTAATTTTTATTTCATAGCAAAGCTAAAAATGTCATTCATGCCACGAAATGAGTGACCGTGCCGTCAGTCCCTCTAACTCTTGTCATACCTTTTTGTTTCTTTGCAGTAACTTCTCCAACTACAGGAATCGGTTCAGCATGCCAGGCCGGACTGAGAGCCTGTGGTACAGGTACGGCACAACAGAACCCGTTGGCTTCATGGAACGACACGATGTCTGGCTGAGTCAGCTGTTGGGCTTTGATGGGTTTAAACAGCAGGTGAAAAGTGAAGGCTGGCAGCTCAGACACAGAATGAGTGTATTTTCCAACCCGGGCCCCATGTGAAGCATCAGCGGAAGGTTTACCAATACGCTGCTGTGCGCATTAACGAGCAGGAACGCTCTCCTGTCTCAGGGACCTGGGGACCGGTACGAATGGGCCAGTTGACTTATAGTCCTCCTCCTCTCACAACGTAAGATAATACCTGGCTGGACCACAGGCGGCTGCCCGCTGGAGGAGCCTCCTGGCTGAGAGCCTGAAACCCCGCGCCTGCCACTGGAAACTGTGGGTTCATAACATGTCGCACACATGTACAGAACACGTGGTTTTCCGTTGCCGTGGAGGACGAACACGTGGGCACTCTTATTGCAGCAGGGAGGTGGATCTGCATTCAGCAGCAAAATGTCGAAAGACGAAACGTTGCCTGGACTTTTCACACTCATGCGGCATTTAAAGGGGGGGGGGGGGGTTCGTTCTTGCCAACGCGCCGACTTTCAGCGGGCCTTCTCCACTGTGTCGTAGTCGGCGTATCATTTTAACGAATCATGTGTCCGCAGCTGGAACCTGGGGTCGGCGCACATCATCTCCGTCTCCACTGAGGTTTATTTCTATCTGGAATTCGGCCAGGATCTGATCTTCAAGCAGCACGAGTGGCTGAGGAAAGACCTGGAGGTTGGTGACCACACCAGTTACACCTGTGAGCGACGCTGCCCTCCTTTGTTTTCACACGTTTTCCCTCTTCGTGCCGTGGTGCTGGTTAACCCCTAACCTGTTTCTCTCTCCAATGTAAACCTACCGATTTCCATTTTCTGTTGCAACACTCGAGTGTCCTCTGCGAATAGCAACGCGCCATGAGGTACGCATGTCTTCACCGCTCCGTTCTCCCACCCTAGGAGGCCAACAAGCCAGAGAACCGAGCCCTGCGCCCGTGGATCATCACCATGGGACACAGGCCCATGTACTGCTCCGACGACGACCAGGACGACTGCACCACGTTTGACTCCTATGTGTGTGAACCACACGCTCCATTACTTCTCCCCATCTGCTACCGCGTTAACACACATTGGCATGTTGTAATGACAACTACCGGTTCTTTAGCACCGCCGAATAACGACTACTGGTGATCAGGTCGACTCCTTCAGACAGGTCGGTTTTTATTATAAGAAACAAGGAGTGAGGAGAAGCTGCGTGAAGCAGGAGGCAACTACTTTGGTCACAAGTGTGGATGTTCCTGTTGTAATGACTTTCGCTGCATTCCAGACGGCAGACTTTTTATTACCCAAAATGTAACTATACATAGTTTGGTACGATGAATATGTCCCAAAATATATTATATCGTCACCTTAAACGTGTTTTATCGCCTACAAAGAACTCCTAGTTTATTTTCCAGTGTGTTCTTTAGCAGCACTTGTGTCTCTCCTTAGGCTTTTATTTTATCACGATTAAGCTATTTGTAGGATTTGTTTTTCTGCTGACTTTAAATACCTCTGGAAGGAGCCCATGAGCCCATTGAGGGAATGCTCTCATAATCACTGCAATTTGGACCAAATAGCTTCCTCTCAGACTTACTTCCTTCAGCGCTTGGCACAGTTTGGAATGAGGCTCTCAGTTAGTGCTTCAAGGTCGCAGGTAGTGCTTCAAGGTCGCAGGTAGGGTTTCATACGCTAATATCAGGTCACGCTGACATCGTTCCTCTCTGTTCTGTAGGTCCGACTGGGACGGAATGACACAGAACCGCCAGCTCCGGGTCTGGAGGATCTATTCTACCGCTATGGTACGGTCTCTATTCGACAACCAGCCCTGTGCTGCTAATGGGTGTGTAAGATTACAACCTCAATGGATTAATGAACCAACAGTTGCTGAGAGCAGAGAAATCCAAACATCCTTTATTAAAAAAGCAGGACTTTGTACTGGCTGATATCCCAACAGCCCATTTTGCAAATGTTTTTTCTGTATTATATTTCCCAGGCTTTTGTTCATTGCTTTTTAATTTATTTAACTTGTGATGGTGGAAGCTTTAGTTGCTCTGATTTTAGGCTTTCGTTAAGATTGTTGAACAGCTCTCAAAAGGCAGAGGATCTGAGGAACATTCGATTACACAGCAAAATGTGAAGGCCCAAATGAGCTGGGCAGATATCTGTTTTTAATGGGAGGCTGCTCAACATCATCAAATCTTCTGCACAGGGGTGGATGTGGAGTTGTGGGCACACGAGCACACGTATGAGCGGCTTTGGCCCGTCTACGGCGACCAGGTCAGCACCTGCATTCTTTATTCGCCACACATTCTTACATCTGCCGTCTTTGTTTTGAATCAGTGAAAGACGCTTTGCATGTTTTTCTCTTTTAGGTGTACAAAGGAAGCAAAGAGCAGCCTTATGTGAACCCGAAAGCTCCCGTGCACATCATCACAGGCTCCGCTGTAAGTCACTTGACACCATTGCTTTTCCCTCGCGGATCAACGCGGAAATTGACGGCGGCGTTTACAAAAACAATGTCACGTATTGTTCGCAGTCTCCGCGTCCCTCTGTCTTCCATTTAGTTCAGCACCAGCTGTTCTCTGATGTGGTGAGCGCTGCGTGCTTCATCCCCCGACCACAGAGGGATTAGTCGTCGGCATCGAAATGCGGCCGGAGGCACGCCGGGGCTCGGCTACAGCAGTGGACGTGACGGAGAACGCGGCGCATCGCCGTCTGTTTAATTTTGACTGCTGATTTCCCCCCCGCAGGGCTGCAGAGAGAAGACCGACAGGTTCAACCCAAACCCCAAAGAGTGGAGCGCTTTCCGCAGCACGGACTACGGCTACACCCGCATGCAGGTGGTCAACGGCACCCACCTTTACCTGGAGCAGGTCTCCGATGACCAGGTGAGCACACGTGGAGAGCAAAGCTTCTAAAGGTCAAAGAGTATTGGGTAATAACAAAGAGTTGTCTGTGTTGCAGTACGGGAAGGTGATTGACAGCATATGGGTGGAGAAGGAACAGCATGGCTTCTCTGCGTGGAAATAAGGACCGCCGTGGATAATTTAAACTTAAGACAAGCACACTTGTTCCGCTGCGTCATTGTGCACTCGAGATGGAGGTATTCATCCTTATTCATTCAGCTTTCTAAATTAAGATGCAGTCAAACCTTTGATTTCAGATATTTTTCACCTTGTTTTATCCATTTAGAAGAAAACTTGATCACCTGTAAATGAAGATAATGAAACATGGGTTTAAATCATTTTTTCCTGTAAAAACCATCATCTATGTAGTCCTACTGGAGCCTTTAGTTGAACTCGTCATTGCTGCTTGAATACCCCCAACGGCCCCTCACGCACAACCTTATGATAGAAGTTCCTTTGGAGAAAAGGCCCCCCGACCACTGAGTTCCTCACCTTCGACCTGCTCGTGCTACACTCCGTACGCGAGGAAGTGCAGACTGCATAGACCGGCTGGAGGAGGTGGGAGGAGGGGGGAGGGGGAGACTGTGGTCCAATTGTTGTAATTATTTATAATTCTTAACGGCCACATTTATAGTCTAGTAAAAGATGGTTATTTTCCAGTCAGTCATGCATGTCCAGCGCATTGTGCGAAATGGACGGATGGAAAGTTCTTGCCTTAAATAACGAGCCCGTTGCATCACGTTCCTCATCACTGAGAAAACGGACGGAAAAAAACCCCCGCAATCCAGTGAAAAAAAGAGCCGGGAAAAGATACCAAGTTCCTTCAGATCGCCTGCCTGATTGTCAACCATGAGGTGCGTTTTACCCGGTATGGAGGAACTGCAGGTTTCTAACGAGGCTACAGACTTTCTAGCCCTTCCTCTTGTGCTCCAGTTATTCCTCTCAAACAAGTCAGATCTTCTTTCTTTCTGTCTTCACACTTTACCCATTTACCAGAAACAAAACCGACCAAAAACCTATTCACATACCAGCTGCTCGTCACCGGTTGTGTACAGTGGATTTGTTGTAACCAGTGGAAGAGGTCGAGGAGTTGAGGTGTCCTCTAACGGCAGTTTAATGTGCAGCATTTGACTGGAATGTGACCCATTAGTCCTCATTAGGTCAGTGCAGCTCTGCCACAACCTCACAGGGAACTTCATTGCAGCGCGCTAATTTCCGATGATACGTCAACAGCTACTTATCCTATCCTGAGCTAATGGCTCAATAAACTAAAAGCAATGAGCTCTCTGAAGACCGCACGAGAGACTGGGAAGTATATTTCTCTTTAACTACACCGAACAGCCGTGAAGCGACTCTACAAGACTCCCTCCGAATTCCCTTCAGTTAAAGTCTTCAATCAATTTCTCTCCACGGGTGATCAAGGGGCGGCTTTTGATCAACAGGAACACAGCATGCACACAATATATACTATATATAAGTCAATCCGAGGCAAACGTAAACCAGCTGAACAGCACAGATTATCACCTTGTTTTGTTTGTTTTTCCTTATGTACCAAAATGGGACAACAATCTGTCTTTCAAACTGCAACTCTTGTTTTGTACAATGCCTCAACTTGAACCTTTAATAAAGTTATGAACAATCAAATTAGTTCTCTTTAACTTTAGTTGTAATGTCAGGCCTTTTTTCTGTTATGAATCACTACAGCCGTGTACTGGCATGTAGCTAAAACACTACAGCTGTGTACTGGCATGTGGCTAAAACACTACAGCTGTGTACTGGCATGTGGCTAAAACGCTACAGCTGTGTACTGGCATGTAGCTAAAACACTACAGCTGTGTACTGGCATGTAGCTAAAACGCTACAGCTGTGAAGTGGCATGTGGCTAAAATACTACAGCTGTGTACTGGCATGTAGCTAAAACACTACAGCTGTGAAGTGGCATGTGGCTAAAATACTACAGCTGTGTACTGGCATGTAGCTAAAACACTACAGCTGTGAAGTGGCATGTAGCTAAAATACTGCAGCTGTGTACTGGCATGTGGCTAAAATACTACAGCTGTGTACTGGCATGTAGCTAAAACACTACAGCTGTGTACTGGCATGTAGCTAAAACACTACAGCTGTGAAGTGGCATGTGACTCAAAGGCAGGAAGATGAAAGGAGAAGTCTTAAAGAAATAGACGAATGGTAAAAAATGTAACCAAATGGGTGGTTGACACAACTAAAGATTAGAAAATAAATGGCTTATAAAGATCAGCAGTGAGAACAAAGCTTGAAACCTTCTCGATCCTCCTGCTAGATTAAAAAAACTTGACCAGAATGAACTTAATTAGGCCCATTGACTGTTGGGTTTCATGATCAGTCTAGTAGCTTGATTCACCATTCATCCAACAAATATAGTGCACGTTCTACCACTATTTACAGATGGAAATGTTCCCGTGCAGTTCTGACCACAAGCACATAAACAGGCGTTACCAGAAGAAGCTCCGTGGCTCCCTGCAGACATCCATCTGAGCCCTGCAGACATCCATCTGAGCCCTGCAGACATCCATCTGAGCCCTGCAGACATCCATCGCGATGCGCACTGCTGCGATTCATCAGGACGACATCAGGCCAACCACTACTCTAAGAAGGACGCAGCATAGCTCTTGTCCTGCATGCAGACAAGTGGGAGTGCCACGCCGCGCCGCGTCCCTCGGTTCAAGAAATCTGTGTTCGGGTCCGTTGATTCCCCAAAAAATTGTCCTTCAGCATCCACGCTTAATGCGGGGACGCTAAAATCACTCGGCCTGATCCGTCAACATACGGCGGGCGACTTCTCGCCGGTGACTGACTGTGAAGAAAGCCTCGCTGCGCTGAGATGAGCGGAGATCGTGCGATTCAGAAACTATGTGGCGTTGTGGGCTTTTGTCTTGTGATCACACCTGACCTTCAGCGGGAGCTGGAGACGTCCCCTGCTCCTTAAGTGGTAGAGACGACTTGAGCTGCAGAGAGCTTTTGCTTTTCTCACAGACTGTCTCTGCTGTCCAAGTGCTTTCCCAGAATGCAGCGTGCTTTTTGAGAACAATGCCGGGCTCGTTACTCCTATCCTGTGTCCCAAATGTTACCCATGCCAGGCCGTCCATCTGTCTGTCTTCTTTAACTGTGATTGGTGTTATTATCTCAAATTTGGCTCTGAATATCAGCAGGGCTTGTCATCGTTGGACCTTTTGTTAACAAAGCAACGCTCCTGCCAATCCTGGTCTGATCTGGAGCTCAGGCTGCGTGGAGGTGAATAGTCTACCTTTGTTGTTTCTGTACAAAGGCATCACTCTATCGGCACTTGAGATCTGAGCTCTAGCAAAGGAAAGGTCAGCGCGGGGTTTACATGACTGGTGTTTTACAGGAACGGTAACACAAGCCCTCCTTTAAAAGCTCTGGTTTTGAAACCGTTAAGATGGGAATGAGGTGATTAGCGGTCATAATGGGTTTTGCACTCAAAGCTCTAAACCTTTTACCCCTTTTAAAAATGTCTCGTGGAGAGTCTGAGGAGTCTTTGAGTACGATTGAGGCGTGTGTGGACGCCGTGCTTCACATTTGGGACCAAATAAAAGGGGTGGAGCAATCCAGGAAATCATCTAACGTTGTAACAATATAAGACACAAGAGAAAAATCTCATTTTAGGCATAACATGTTACCTTATTTTCCTTAAGAAACCGATGCAGGATCTAATGGATCTTTAAGCGCTCAGCTTATGTAAGATGTTATTTTTACCCATCCACCTGAATTACGTCTGTCATTAAAGACTCGCCTCTCACCTCCAAGGTCGTGTGGGTTTGGAGTGCAGCAGTGAACACGAGAACACTCAGGGTAGCTCCATGTCATCCCCAGCTTTTGGCAAACGTCTTGGCCAAAAAGTGTTGCTCTGGATGAAGTGGACAGATATGCAGGGGATCTTTTGAACGCTGTGTCCACCTTAAAAGCCACATTTGGTGCTGTAGAGGTAATCATCCCGGGTAGACCGTATCCGGTGTTGTTTTTAAAAGAGTGCGATCACACTGGATGGTCCTTCTGACGATAAAGTGGTTTTCAATGTTTACGGAGAAATTCAAAATGTGTGATCTCCGGTGTACTTTGGAAAAAGAAGAAGCTTGTCGGGTGGGAACGGAGTAAAAAAACAGACGTCTCCGATCCCTGGACAGAAGATATTCAAAGAATCTGTTGCGCAAAAGTAGACTGTTTTGTCATTAGAGGACGTTCGCGTCCACGGCCTGATGACGTGCTACATTCAGAATCAGACACAGCGCCTGTCCTCCGTCTACACTCGTTACCTCAGCTCTGTCTGCGCAGATCATCTACACCAACCTGGGCTTGGATTTAGGGATGGTGCAATGTATGCTGTGGGTATCAGCACTAGGGAACTATGGTCCTTGCGCGTCCAGACTGGGGATCCCTTGACTTGTCCTCTTGCGCCACCATCATGGAACCCAACTCTTTCACACGCGTGGCAAAGGCCTCGACCACCTTGATACTCAGACTATCGACCCAACTAACCTCACTCCTCATGCCAAACCCTAACTAACCCAACCACCAAAGGCTGGTGGGTCATGCCCACCGTTGGGGGGGGGTCCGATGAGTCGTTCTACTCGATAAGTAGCCATGTGCTCCATGTTTGTTGGAGGGAAAGTGCGTATTTTAGGAACAATGGGTGTTTTGTTTCAGCACAACGTGCCAACCTTTTGGGTAATGACGCGTAGCAACAACAGGAAGTTCCCCAACGGTTGACATTTTTCTTCATCACAAGCGGCAAAGGCAGCTAACAAAAACCCGTCTCGGAGCGTTTGTTCTACCTACCAATGGGTACGTTTGATCACCCATTAAATGGACGAAGGCATGAATATCGAGAGAAGCAAATCCTCGCGTGGCTGGGAATTGGTTTTGTGTGGCCACTGGCCGCCGAAGGTGCTTGTTTAAACAGACCCAGACTGAAAGGCTTAACGACCACGCTGACAGCAGTCATTCGAGATGTCTAGAGGCTGCAGCGCTGTGGCCCCGAGAGCGAGAGAGCGGGCGGGCGAGAGTGAAAGGGGGTAGATGTTGTGGTTTGCCGTGTCTTCATTTACGCTCCAGAGAAAAGAGACGCACGAGATTCGTTTTTAAATGTGACTTAAATATTTGTTCTCCCACCAAACCTAAACCAACAGAAAGAAGGATACACAGTGGACGCCCGCTGTGTTTTTCCCGCCACCTCAAACGTGTTCTGCCGTTTGCTCCAATGTCATCTCAATTAAACATAAGCACGAGGACGGAGAGCAGCGCGGACTTAAAAGTAGGTTCGTGTTTTTGGAAGGTAGTGGTGAGCTTGGATTACATCCTAAATATAATTGCACATATATTTTGGACTAACTTTTGCTGATTTGATTGATTCCCACAAACCCATGAGCTATTTTCTCGTGCCTAACATGTGCTGACCCGCGTCGGATGAGCATATGAAGAGACAGAACCAAGTATAGCCGTCCATTTTCCAAAAATAAAAGACAGTGCTGCAGTCAAAGGTTTGTATTTTCACTACATATACCCCAAAGGTTCTTTAGCGTAATAATCACTGACCTGATCTTTAGCTATGCTAATCCCCAGTCTCAGTCTCAGTCTGCAGGAGTTCACCTGTACATGAAATGTTGTACACATTGACATGTGGGGTTTAATGGCTTATCAGAGCTTTTGTCTCATAATGCACCAAAAGAAGGTTTAAACTAGAGATTACCATAGAAGAAGGGTTCAAGAAAGGCTTTGAAGGTGCACGATGCAAGATGTGGAGCGTTTCTCAGCGGCTCGTAACCAACAGTGTTAGCGGCGCCAGCTGCAGGGAAAGTGCTGACCGAAGCAACAGCGCGAACCCGCGTGGAACCTGAAGGGTCGGTTCCAAATGATAATGCTCCGACTGTCGTATATTGCTCAAGGTCAGCAGCAGGTCTGCGGAATTTCAGAATGAGGCACGATGGGAAAAAGAGCTTGAACAAATGCAACAGAGAGAATAGAAGAAAGCCCGAAAAGCCAAATCCTGTTTGTCATTGAGGGCGAGTGCTCCCAATTTTGCAGAACCGTGGCTTCGCCCTCCACATTCCAGCATTAAACTGTTCCTTTTGGAAATCTTTTTTGCTTTATCTCAAAGTTCAATGAAGTTTTTTTTTTCCCAGACTCAGCAGCCGTCCACAGTTCGTCCCCCCCGCTTTGTGAAAAAGGGCCGTCTTATGAGAAGTTTAATATGACGTCTGGCTTCACTTTTCGGCATGTGGTTAGTGCAGAGGAAGACACGGGTTGATGCTTTAAGCAACAAGGATGCAGTATCACATGTGGGATGCACATGATGGAGCAGCGGGCCGCTGCTTTAGTCCGTATTGCGCCACCAGACAGAAACACACTCATCTGAACGATCCATCTGAAAGAGCTTACTTTCGCCAGACTGCAGGAAGTGACGGGAGAAATAAGCTGTGTCAGCAGCTCATTGCAACACCTCTCAAGTGTCTTAATTTTGGCGAACATAAAGCGTGCACGAGGCCGGCCAAGGGTCAACATTAAGGTGAGATCTTTTTCTTTGGGTTTGGGTTAGTACTTCCTGTCTTTGATCTGTGTGTCCATAAGATTTGTCCTCTCTGCCGGACGCAAGCGATCATTGACTGAGACACTGAGACCCCCTTTTTCCCTTCAACAGAAAGTAAACGCTCCAAACCCCAGTCGCTCCGTCCTGCGTGGAGGCCCGATTCGCTCCTTTCAGCTGTGTGACGGAGAGCCCTCGCGTCTCACTCCCACTGTCCTCCATGGCCTCGCCGTTTGACCCGCTGCCAACTTGGACGCGCTTCCTCCCAGTGAGCTTCACATGCAGCCTTTCTGCATAGCAACAGTTTGTGGACAGACACTCTGAGGAATACACATGAAAAAGAGCACAAACAGATGGGCTGTGGAAGTGAAGTGATTTGCATTTTTCCAAACGATTGAACCGCCCTTTTCTGCATGTTGATTCCGGAGAATTTTAATCAAAAATGAAAGTTCCCGGATCAATGATACTGGCACTATGCCGTCCCCACTAGTGAGCATCAACACGTGCAGAGCGAACAATTGACTCTTTCACGAGGTGGCAGTTGCGAAAATTCCATCGAATTGGTCCAACAATAAAAAATAAAAAAAACGTGCAAGTTGTCGGATCCAGCTGAAGTGTTGCACAAAGACTGAGCCCTGAGAAGACAGGAACAAAGGAGCGGGACTGCAGATGTCGAGGACTTGTTTGTATTTGTCAGAATTCAGAGGGAGAGAGCAATAACTGAAGGCTTACGCAAGACCGGCCCTGCAGCGCCGCCTTCGTCGGCTCCTTTATGAACTGATCTCAGCGGACTTTCCACAGCAGGATGTTTGAAGAGACAAGAAAAAGGAACCCTGATTGAGACGAAATGACCTCAGAATCCAGAGACACTTTCTCCCCCCCGAGAGAGCTCTGAAGAAGGTTCCCACTTTGTATATTTGCGAGTTTCGAACTAATGTCTTCCCTTTCTCACCTGATCTGTGTGACGTGGAATGTCCGACTCAGCAGTCACGGAAGTCAAGTGGGAGGAACGTTTACTCTGGCCGGTGTACAGACGCATGGTGTCATTCAGGCCACATATCAGCTTGTACTTAGAGGCAGAACCCGGACATCATTAGTAGATACATTCTGGTGTCAACTGTGTTTGGTCATTAGTTCCACAGCCATTCCCTCACCGGGACGACGCCGCCCTGCAGGAGGACGATGAGGACGATGAGACCTGCCTGTCCTTCGGCCAGTGGAATGAGAAAACGAAGCACCTCGGTTTTTAAAAACATTCAATAATGGAGTCCAGTCGTCCGTGATCAAAAGCTCTGACGAAAAACAGAGACTTCCCTTTGGTGTTATGATGTGTTTCAGTGCCGTGCAATAAGATGAAGAAGGTTCCAACTCACGGGATGCATCTCCAAAATAACCCATCCGAGGTTGTCCACATGCTCCTTTTCAGTGCAGCTGCCTCGTGGATGAGCGCCTCCTGAGCGTGCAAGAGGCGCGAGCCTCACGCCGTGACGAGGGAGACCTTCCACTCTGCCGATTCCAATTAGAAAAGTCTGTCCTTAAATACCCCCAAACACGTTCACTTTCTAGATCGCTTTTAAAGTTTTTACAGCCATTTGCATCCCGCCGGGAAGTTTGATAACTTTAATAGTCTTTTTCTTTCTCCTGCCCTAAATCTGACGTGTCTAATAATTTGGTTTATGGTGCGATACCTTTTAAATCTTTATATGGTATTCACGTCCATACGAGGCGTATAACTTTGAACGGTATTGCATCATAAGCCAAATTATCATTACCAAACAGAATACCGTAACGCGTAGTAAGGAGGTGTTCAGTCAATCGGTCCTTCAGACAGTTGCTCATTTTAACCCTGAAGGTGGCCTCCCAAAGAGAAAATGGCGCCGAACCTCGACGGCGCGTTCACCTTCGACTGCCACTGCGGGGAAAACAAACGCTTGAAAGGAGGCAGTAAAAATAAATTTGCAGCATTAGTGCTTCGGGAGCCAGAACACACAAGGTTTGTTTGAACAAAAAGCCATTAAACAAAACACGTAAATCACCGTTGGCCTTAGGAACACAAGTTTAATCGTTGGAGGCCTTTTCGCCTGCGGCGGACGCGTCCGTAGAAGGGCGAAGGTGGGGGGGGGGGGGGGATGTCCAAGGGTAGCGATCCCGCAGCCGGTCTCTTGCGGATTCCAGGGCGATATCGGGGATGACGGAGACCAGCTGCTGGCTCGGTGACTCACTTTT